CACGAGAGCAGTTCAATTAGAGTAAAACTTGAGATTCCACCTCACTGATTCGAACGAAGAGGAGCTTTAAGCAGCAGGAGTTTCACCTGACCATGTCACGTGTGCATCACGTATAATGATGTGTTAAATAACATTTTAGTGCATGTTTGGTTTAATATTTTTATCCCTATTTTGGATCCTATTCTCCAAATAGCGTTTGGTACAATATTATAAAAATATTATCTTATTTTTTTAATTATTTTTAACCCCATAAGGTTATTAATTTCACTAAATACCCCCTAAAAAAAAGTTTAAAAATTAACAAAAACACCCCCATCAACCCAACTTGTCAGATTCCAGCAACCACCGTCGGTGATAGCCGGAATCTATACAACGGCCTAACTTCCGACCAGAAATGGCTGGAAGTTCACCGCTGTGGCCTTTTCCGGCCAGATCCACCACAGATCTGGCCGTCAGCAATGGCCAAAGAAATGGCTGTCGTTGATCGAAAACGACGGCCACATCTTTGGCCATCGTTGACGGCCAAAGATGGCCCTCGTTTGGCCTTTTTCGACCGTTGACAGCCATAACGGACCGTAGATCTGGCCTTTTCCGGCCAGATCCATGATGGATCTGGCCGGAAAAGGCCATAACGACGTGTTACGGCATAGATCCGACAAGTCTGTGCCGTAACAAAATTTTCCGGCCAGATTCCGATGGTGGTGGCCGGAATCTGATGCTGCAAGTAGTGGGGGTGTTTTTATCATTTTATATGTTAGGGTCTTTAGTTAAATTAGTAAACCTAAGGGCTTTTTTACAAATTTTTAAAATTTACCTCGTAATACTCCCATATCTAATAACCCAATACTATCCCTAAAATCCTATCCAAAATACTAAACCAAACGCACCCTTAGTCTCCCAGTTTTGGGGAAAATTTAATAGGTCCTAAGGTTCTAAGAAGTGATACTTTTGTTTAATAAATAATAATAACAAAAAATATGGTCACACAAAAAGAGGTGATCACACATAACAAAAACGAACTGATATGTTCAACCAGACACAAGAAAAGAATTTACAAACAAGCAAGGACTAACTGAAATAATTTTTCAGAACCCGCTTTGATATCAATTGTAAGTTTTAAAGAGGTTACCAAGTGATTAAAACTTACGTTGAATGGGTTACTTATTCAATTTAATGCAAATGAGTTGAGAATAATTGAATTAAAACATACGTAAAAATAAGTAAAGAACACACTCACTTTTACATGGTTTGGCATCAAGCCTATATCCATGTGACCACTTTCAGAAGAAGCAATTCACTATGAAATACTTATGAGTTCAAATACAAAGCAAGATAACCATAGTAGTAAAACACTCCCTGTTTTCTAAACAGTGATTCAATCTTCTTTGGTTGAACGTCAAGCCATCACAATAAGCTTCACATGCATAATCATCGTTATGTTGAAGAAGAGTTCTTCTCAAGGTTCAACAATGAAGATAGGACAGTAGCTTACACTCAAGCTCTTCTCACAAAGGAAAAACAACAACCTAAGATCTAACATAAAGATAAGTGATGAGGGTAATTTAAAGTCTACCAAAGCATAGAAGAAATCTTAACAAAAACAAGAACCTCGGAGAATATTCAAAGAGGCAGAACAATGTAATATGGTTTCTTATCAAACAATATAAAACGGGAGAATATAAAGGATCAACATGTTAAAGGATGGGGGACAAAAAGGTTAAACTTTAACTTTTATGTCTTTCTTTTTTCACAAGACATTTTAGGACCATAAACAAGAGAAATATTCCTTTTCTTATTCAGCAAATAAACAAGAGACAAGTGTAAAGAATAAGTCAGAGAATCAATCAAGGAATAATTTTGTCCAGAAGACAAACAAATACGTGAAGTGTGATTTGAAGAAAAATATCTACCAGAAACGATATGAACACTCATAGGCAAAGGTACTCACACTTGTAAAGGTGATTACCTTTAGAAGTGTGTGCACAATGGATCATAAGATGACAAAAACACTAACATATATGTGTGTGTGTGTGTGTGTGTGTGTGTGTGTGTGTGTGTGTGTGTGTGTGTTCTTATATAAATTTTATGAGAATTAAGCTTAAATACCACTAGATTCATTTGCAAAACATCATTTCAGTTTAATAATAATGAATCCAATGCTATATGATCTTGCGGTGGTGGGCAGAAAATGGCTTCCATGTGCTTGCAGCTGTGGTTGGCCCAAATCTGAGTTCTCAGTGACGCTTCCCGCGACTATCAATGGTGTGTGTATATATATAGCATGAACCGTACTAAGTTGACATGCCCTTACTACAGGTCCATTCACTGCGGTCAGGGCAACAACATGTTCTTATTTTTGTTGCTTAAAAGAGAGGTGATAGATGAATAAAATATTCTTAATAATTTATGAATATAACTTATCATTATTAAAAGTTATCATAAAAATATAACATCCAGTTTATTTAATGTAAATAGCTAAATTATTGAATAACATTAAATCTGATTTGAATGATATAATTTATTTATTTATTAGTTATAATTAAAATTAAAATATATTATTAGTTAATAATAGTAATATCAAAACATAAGAGCTTATATATAATTAATTTTTTTTTTTTAAATTAGTTATTATTATGAAATGTGAATATTGAGTATCATATGAAAGGAAAGAAAGAGAGAGATAAACTTAATGCTTCTTCAGGTAGAATCCAAAAATTTGCATTTCTCTGAATATTGAGTAGAGCATCTGTCAAATCTGGGAGTCCATGTAATTTCAGTTTGAAACGATGAAGCTAATGCTCTCGAACAGAGCCCACATACTTAGGCATCGACTTGGTAAACCTGATAATGCTTCAAGTGAGGTGCAACCCTATGCCTCTATTGTTAGCAACTGCTGTGGAAGCTCCGGTAAGGATTTAAGCTTCTCGCAATTGCTTAAATCAAGCCTAAACAAGCAAGAGACGTCTTTGATGCTCACTGGTAGGCTCTCAAAATTGTTTCGGCCCAGATATAAAATATGTAGTGGGCGTATTCGGCCAAGATCGTTAGGTAACACTTCGATACAACAGTCAGTCAGATCTAGTTTCCACAAGCAGCAGCTCGTGAAAAGATACACTAGGAAATTCAGCACCTCCAGATTCCTACATCTAGAGAAAGATAAAATTGCAAGTTTTTTCGCACATGTTATAGATGATGGTAATTCTCTTATAGGAATTCCCTCGACTTCAAGTATCTCCAATGCTTTTAAATTTCCCAAGCTTTTAGGCAATCTGTCAAGTTTTGAACAATCCGAACGAGAGAGAGATTGAAGTGATTTCAACTCACAAATATTATCCGGTTGACTTTCAAGCCTTGAACAGTTTTTAAAAGTCAATGTTTCTAGTCTAAATAGGTGCCCTAATGATGTCAATTCTTTGATTGCAGTTCCATCTAAATACAACCATTTTTTTGTACCTGTACGAGGGATATATGGAACCGTTCTGAGATTTGAACAATTGGAAAGAACAACTTTTGAGATTTCAACTGACAAATACTGTTTGGGAGACGCTCTAACTTTGAACAACTTTCAAGATCCAGTTGTTTTAGTCTATAAAGATGCTTTAATGATGGCAATTCTCTTATTGCAGTTCCATCTATATAAAACAGTTCTACTGCACTGGGATATAGGGAACTGTTTTGAGATTTGAACAATTGGAGAGAATAACTTCTCGAAGAGATTTCAACTCGCAAGTACTCTCTGGTAGACTCAGTAGCCTTGAACAATCCTTAAGATTCAATATTTCTAATCTGGAAAAATCCTTTAATGGCGGCAATTCATTTATTACAATTCCATCTACATATAACTCTTCTACTGTACAAGGGATATATGAAACTGCTTTCAGATTTGAGCAATTAGACAGAATAAGTTTCCGAAGAGATTTCCAATGACTGGTGATTGATAGCCTGTTCAAGATTTTTCATTCTCATAGATTTAGGAGAAGCTCTGATGCAAATTTGTACAACCTTCCAGAATCAAGCTCTCAAGATTTTGGATAAGTGAGAGATCTGACATTTTGCGTAGATGTTTGAAGTAACTGAGGTCAATATGTTTCAAATTAACAAGATTCTGCTTCTGTAACAAAAAATAAAATTAAAAGAACATAAATAACATACAAATATTTATAATTTAAAGACAAAATGAAAAATAAAAGTTAACATATACCTGGTCACCATTCCAAAGTTATTTCAACTTTGCTGGAACGCATGTAGAGTACAACAAGGTTCTTTGGATTAAAATTTGGTGGCAATGAATTGGCAGAATATCCATGCCAGCAAAGGTACCATAGCTCAGAGAAATCAGATTTAAGGACTTCGAAACCATGTACCTTTTTATCATGCCCGCAGCCATATACTTCCAAGAATCTTAGTTTATGCATCTTCTTGAAAGCTTTAGGATTTAAATGTAGTTGTCATACTTCAGACATATCCAAGCGCATGCCTCGAATAGCTCTGGTCCCCTAATAATCAATAGTAGATTGATGATGAGTTATTATTACATAGCTTAATTACATTAACTATCAAGTAATTAACACTCATATAATATTTTATTTTTCAACCTTCTTTTAAAAAATGTAATATATAAGACATCTCATGCTCCAATGAGTTGAGTTAAATATTCCCAATGATAAATGGAACTGAATATTCTACAAGCTAATATTTCATAACATCTTATTGACCATACAAAGGGTGAAGACTGCAATTCTGAAAAACATAAAGGATCACACCGCAATTTGTCAACACGCCGTCGTTAAGTAGATTGTTTACAGATATCAGTTGAACATTGTTTTGAGCTCACATAAGCTGCTTTACTAATTCTAAGCTACTTTACTGATTCCCTCTTCCATGTATAAGATAGATCCTGATTGTACTCATTCTTAACACAGTTAATACAAATCAGTTGTCAATTTCGTTTTTGCTTCCTTTAAATCTTCACATGGTATCAGAGCCACTGACTCGCATCGATGGCTGAGCATTCTGGTCTTGATAGTTCTGCAAAGAATGTGGATAAACTTCACACTCTGTCTGAGCTTCATTCGTCCATTGTTCCTTCAAGTCTTCAAGTAATAAATCTGAAGCTAACGAGGGACAAGTACCATGATAACTATCGGTTATGGCTTTCTCAAGGTCTGTTCATAGTCAGAGCTCATGGATTGGAAGAACATTTGACAGGTTTGATCCCCTGTCCTAAGCCTTTACTTACTTCACCAATTGATATTTCAATTGAATCGGGAATAATTAGTTCTAAAGAAACCCTAGCTAAAGAAAAAATCAATCCTAAATATGTTGCCTCGAAACGCATTGATAAATTTCTTGTTACCTGGTTACTTGCATCAATATCCGAGTGTATGTTTAGCTGTGTATCTAAGTGTCAACTCTTTACCAATGTTTGGTTCACACTTGAAAAGGAATTCTTGTCAGATTCTAAAGCTAGGGCACTACTCCTAAAAAACTTACTTCAAAATACACAAAAAGGCAACTTTAGTGTGAGTGGCTACATCAAGAAAATGAAGGGATAGCTGAAAGTTTGGCATCTAGTGGACAAGTTGTTTCTGATGAAGATGCTCTTCAATATGTTCTGGATGGGTTAGGTCCTGAATTTGATACTGCTGTAGTCAATTTAACCTCCAGACTTGAGTCTAGGTTTGATTCTGTAAGCATTCAAGAAGTATAGTATCTTCTACAGAAATATGAGTTAAGACTGGAGAAATTCAATTCTATTGATTTTCCAACAAGTTCAATACATATAGCTGCAATGAGTAATTCCAGTAATCCTCCCTTTAAACCTACTCATTCAAGAATTGTTAATAGTTCACTTAGCTCTACTAGAAATCCAACTCCTCTCACACAGTTTACACCTTCCCTAAACACTTTATCTAATCCCTCTTACACACACCATTATCCTCTAGCGGCTACCATTCCCACTGAACAAACTGATCCACATTATGTTCAACCTTTGCAGACCTACTATAATCCTTCAGTACCTACCTATAGACTTGTTGTGTTTCACAATACTAGAAGAGGTCGTGGTAGGAGTAATGGCATAGGAAGGCCAATATGCCGGGTCTGTAGCAAGATTGTTAACACTGCGGTGCAATGTTACCACAGGTATAACTCCAATTATAATGGGACCTCACCTTAGTATAATCCTTCCCCACAACAAATAGGTGCTAGATCGTATCTCACCTCTGGTTCTCAAGCTCCTATCATTTTTGGACACAGTTATCTCAACAGTCCCAATAGTAGCATTTGTCATAACAATCTGTTCAGTCTTTCTATTCGCATGAAGGATCACAATACCAAGGACATTTTACTAAAATTTCTCATCAACCACAGCCCTTAACAAATTCACAACAAGGATTCCAAGTACCCAGCAAACAACAATAAACACCTAACCAAGCCTACCTAGCCTCTCGTTAGAACATACTTGTCATCTCCAATTTATCAACCTTCATTCCTGGTGGTGCCTCTATCTCATCAAATCTTGCCTGGTATATGGATTCTGGTGCTACCGACCGTGTCACTGTAGATCTTAGTCAGTTGAATGTGAGTAGAAATTATGGTGGAATTGAACAATTACAAGTAGGCAGTGGTGAGTTTCTTGATATATCCCATGTTGGCTTTCTTCTTTACCTAGTTTTCTACAAAATAAATGTCTACATCTAAAAAATGCTTTGTGTGTACCAAGATTTACAAAAAACTTTCTTAGTATATCCAAATTTACTAAAGACAATAATGTCGTGGTTGAATTTAACTCTGATTGTTGCATTATTAAGGACAAGGTTTCCAAAGCAGTTTTACTATAGGGAGAACTTAATGTTGGGCTATATCAATTAAGACTTCCATCTGTTAGTTCTCAGGACACTTTAGCTTAGTCTTTTGTTCCTCTTAATGCACAAAGTTTTGTTTCTGTCGCAACCTCCAAACCTCAAAATCAAAATTGTTTTCCTAGCGTTACTGACATTGATTCCCATAAGTCTGTATCTACTTTAAGAAATAAGATCCCATATAAGAGTCTTAGTGAGCTGCAAACTAGTGTTAGTCCATCAAATTGCACAAAAGTTGTTAGTATTGATAATAAGTCCACAGAGTCAGTTCTGGATAGTTGTAATGTTCCTTCAATAAATAAAAACATCTTTGTTCCTGATTACTCTTTCTCTAATAATAATGTTTCTAATATGAGCAATATGATTGATCATATCAATAAGACTCCTATTGTTGATCATGTTAGTGATATTGATGGTATTTATCCTGATGATAATAGTCATGCTATTCATGATACTCATAATAGAACTACTAGTCATGAAGTTTCTATTAATTTGATGTTGGTATTAATTTTGTTACTGATGGCATTAATCCTAATGATAATAGTCATGCTGTTGATGATACTCATAATAGAACTATTAGTCATGATGTTTTTGTTGATTTTAATGCTACTAGTATTAATTTTGTTGCTGATCACCATGTTGTTGATGTTGTTCATAATTACTCTACTAATAATAATGCTTGCAATGTTGCTGAAATTGATTCTAGTACTAGTAGTAATACTAATAAAAATTTGGCTCCTCAATGTCATATGTATCTGCCCAGTAGTTCACCTTTAGCCCTTCAAGCTACTTGTCACAAACAAGGCATTTCATCACTATGGCATAAAAGATTAGGGCATCCACATTTAGAAGTTTTTCAGAAAATCATGCTGCAAATTAATCACAACTCTTCAAAGCATATTCCTTCCATTTCTTTTGGTGATGCATGCCAACTTGGCAAAATGCACAAAAACAGTTTTCCTATCTCTCATTCCAGAGCCACTGCTCCTCTTGAATTAGTTCACAATGACATTTGGGGTCCTCCTCTAGTGGCATCCATTGAAGGCTTTAAATACTATGTGCATTTTCTTAACGATTTTAGCAGGTTTACATAGCTTTTTCGTTTAAGAACCAAAGTTGAAGTGCATTATGTTTTTGTTAAATTTCATCATTTAGCTGAGAGACAATTTACTCATAAACTTAAATGTCTACAATCTGATTAAGAGAGTGAATATAAGGGTTTAATTCCTTACCTAACCAAATATGGAATTCAGTTTAAGCACTCGTGCTTATGTCTATCAACAAAATTGACGAAGTGAGAGAAAACATAGGCATATAGTTGAAACTGGTCTCACCCTACTTGCACATGCCTCCATGCCTATGATTTTTTGGTGGCTTGCATTTGATACAGCGGTGTTTTTAATCAATAGGATGCAATTTTCTATTCTTGATTTTCAATGTCCTTATCAATTGCTGTTTTATATATTACCTCTTTATTCATCTTTAAAGGTTTTAGGATGTGCATGTTTTCCTCACCTGAGAGTTACAATAGGCACAATCTTAGTTTTCATTCTTCTAAGTGTGTATTTGTAGGATATAGTCTAGTTCATAAGGGCTATAGGTGTTTAAGTCCTGAAGGCTAAATTCTTATTACACCCAATGTCACTTTTAATGAAGATGACTTTCCTTTTATGTGCAATTTTCTTCACTCTCAAGTTCCACCTTTTTCACTGTCAACTAACATCTCTTCTAGTCTTAGCTTTCCCTTTTTGTCAGTACCATTATTAATTTAGTTCCTCAATCATTAATAGCTCCTAACAATAAAGTATCTCAAGTAGTATAATGTTCTGCATCCATTCCTACTTCAACAATTAGTGCACAAAATTCCTCCTCAACATCACCTTCCCATCAATCCAACCCTGTCTCAAACACCATTCCACCTTTAGAAAGTTGTTCCTTACCATCATCAATTTTACCTCACCAATCACATGTACCAGTTATTGCATCTCATCCAACACCTACCACATTACACTTTCTCACCATTCAAAATCAACCTATGACATCACAACCTCACAAATTACAAAATCATAAGTCTTTACACTACCAAAGACCTCATTCCTGTCCTGTCGTAGTAGACTTAACAACATCTCAATTGGTCATTTCATCCACTGATAAACATACTACATCACACCCTCTCACCATTCAAAATCAACCTACTACATCTCAATCTCACCAATTACAAAATCAAGAGCCTTCTCACTGTCCTCTTGTGATTGATTTAACTCCGTCACAATTTCTTACTTTGTGAACTAGTTTGCCTACTGCATTAAACCTTCTTGAAACAGATCATTCAACATCAGTAACCTTTCCTCTACCTATACACACACATCATATGTTAACTAGAGCAAAAACTAGTCTTCAACACAAAACAACCCTCATCATATCTAGTCAAGAACCCGTCTTACCAGAACCTGATTCAGCTGTCGAAGCCTTGGTCAGTAGTGAATGGAGAGAAGCCATGCAACTTCAGTATGATGCATTTGTAAATAACAACACTTGATCCCTTGTTCCTAAGATGAAAGATATGCAGATTGTTGGTAACAAATAGGTCTTTAGATGGGTCCCTACAAAAGTACAAAGCAAGGTTGGTTGCCAAGGGGTTTCAGCAAACCCTTGGCTTAAATTTTTTTGAAACTTTCAGCCTTATTATTAAGCCTTCAACCATCAGAATTATACTAACTCTTACTGTGACCAATGCTAGGACATCTAACAAGTGGATGTCAATAATGCTTTCCTAAATGGCACTCTTAATGAAACAGTGTATATGAGGTAGCCTGAAGGATTTGAAAATCCTCAATGTCTTACTCATGTTTGCAAGTTGAACAAAGCCCTTATGGCCTTAAATAGGCTCCAAGAGCCTGGTTTGACAAACTGAAGTTTGCTCTTACGGACAGAGGTTTTAAAAACTCTATATCTGACTCCAACCTATTCATTCTCAAAAATGGTTCCTACATATTCTATGTCCTTGTATACTTTAATGATATATTGATTACTAGATCCAATGTCTCATCCATACATCAGCTTGTTCAAGATCTCAATGATCAGTTTGCCTTAAAAACTCTTAGGTCTATTAAGTATTTTCTTGGTTTGGAAGCCACAAGGACCTCTACTAGCATTCACTTGAAGCAAACAAAATACATCATTTATTTGCTATCTAAAACTAGGATGATAAATGCTCATGCATGTTCCACGCTCATGGCTATTGGCATAAAATTTTCTTCCACTAACAATGAGTTGTTCAAAGATCCCAGCCTATACAGAAGCACCATCGGAGCCCTTCAATACTTAACTTTAACCAGATCCGACATCAACTTTACTGTTAATAAGCCGAGTCAGTTTCTACAAGTACCAACAGAGCTCCAATAGCAAGCTTGTAAGAGAGTTTTAAAGTATATTAAAGGCACACAGTATCATGGGTTACAATTCAAACCAGCTACATCTCTGAATGCTGAATGCTATCCTGATGCAGACTGGGGTAGTAGTTTAGATGATTGACGATCCACAAGTGCGTATTATGTTTATCTAGGACCTAATCTTATCTAATGGAGTTCATGAAAACAGAGGGTTGTTGCGCTTTCTTCAACAGAGGCTGAATATAGAGCCTTAACACACATAGCCACTGAAATAGCTTGGTTACAAATTAAGCATGTTTTTTGAGTTAGGTTTGATTCTGAACACTCCTCCATTAATTTGGTATGATAATGTCAGTGCTAGTGCCCTTGCTGCAAATCCTGTTTTTCATTCCAGGACCAAGCATATTGAGATTGATATTCATTACATCAGGGATCGGGTTTTAGTTAAAAAGATCATGGTTCAATATGTTCCATCTCAACTACAAATTGCTGATGTTCTTACCAAACCTTTATTAGCAGCTCAATTCCTTGAATTGAAGCAAAAATTGACTGTTATAGCATGCCTGATTATGGAAAAAGAGAAGAAGTAAAGTGTTGTACTAAAGACTCTGTGTGCTTATCATAAGCTGATGCAGAAGCTAAAATATCAAGCTAATGCAGAAAAATTGTTAGCAACAATTCAGCTAATCGACTGCAATTCCAAAGTTGAAAAATAAAATGTAGTTTAGAAAGTTTTAACTGAAGCAACAGATATAGCTAAAGCTAGAATAGAGTTTAGTTAATTGAAGCAACGGTTCAGGTAAGAAAAAAATGCAGTTTAGAAGCTCTTGATTGAAGTAGAAGTTTAGCTAAGAAAAGTGCAGTTCAGAAGCCATTAATTGAAGCAGCAGTTCAGCTAAGAAAAATGCAGTTTAGAAGCTATTAATTGAAGCAGTAGTTCAGCTAAGATAAATGCAGTTTAGAAGCTAGTAATTGAAGCAGTAGTTCAGCTAAGAAAAATGCAGTTGATGGTCCGTATTGTGTGTGTCAATTTCACCATGAGTAGTTTATGCTAAGGTGTTGTTTTTTATGTTCAGAATTGTGTGTGTCAATTTCATCATTAGTAGTATGTGTTGTGGTGTTGTTTTAAAAGTCAACCGCTGTCAAGAAGAAACAGAGTTTTGACCTTTAGCTGTCAAAAACATAGCCAGGAAAATGCAGTTTGGTTTGAGGGGAAGTGTTGACCTTCAACCATATGAGGAGTAGTTCAGTTTGAGGGGAAATTTTGACCATACAAAGGGTGAAGACTGTAATTCTGCAAAACATAAAGGATCACACAGTAATTTGTCAACAAGCTGTCGTTTTAAGTAGATTGTTTACAGATATTAGTTGAACATTGTTTTGAGCTTACACGAGCTACTTTACTAATTCTAAGCTACTTTACTGATTCTCTCTTTTATATATAAGAGAGATGTTAATTGTACTCATTCTTAACACAATCAATACAAATCAGTTGTCAATTTCGTTTTTGCTTCCTTTAAATCTTCACATATCTCATATAAAACAAAGAAATAAAAAATTAATGTCTTTGGCTCTCACCGCATTATTTGTTAATACTGAATGACATCCTTACGGTCCCAAAGCCAACTACATTTGCCAGGATCATTAGTTGATTGCTGACGAATAATATCTCTACCCATTCCTTGAGGTAAATCATGCATGGTTATGGTGTTGGATGATGTAGTTATGAGAGACCTTTCAATCAAAACATTTATATCAATACGTGCCCATAGCCATCCAAGATTGCTTCTATAAGATCTCTATTATACCCTTTAAAGAAACAAGCAATATCCAGAAGTACATGCTGCTCTTCAATATTTGGCCCATCATAATTTACTTTTAATGCCTCTTGGATTTTCATATCAGGAATTCTGGTTAATCTGTTTATATAGCTTTCCCATTCTTTCTTTGTCCTCTCAAATAGAGAGGAACCTAAAACTTTAAGAGCAAGTGGAACACCTTTAGCATATGACAACACCCTTTTAGATAGTTGCATAAAATCTTTTGTGAGAAGGTTTCGTCTAAAGGTGTGTTGACTAAACAATTGGAAAGCTACATCATCCGATAATA